GACAGCCAGGAGGAGCAGATCCTGCAGGTGATCACCAAACCCACCAGGTACTTGCAAGGTCCCTCCTCCTCACCCTCACAGCAACTTTCCCTGAAAGGTCTGAGCAACATCAAAAGTTTCTGGGAGGCCAACACCAGCTCCATCCCGATTCCTGGCACTGAGTTTCTCCAAGGAATGTGGTGTCCACATCAAGGAATGTGGTTCCTGGGTCCCTCCAGGCACTCCTGTTCATGCTGGGCTCAGGGGGCTCCTCAGGAAAGCTGTCCCTGGATCCCTGGAAGTGTCCAAGGCTGGGCTGACAGAGCTTGGAGCACCCTGGGACAGCGGGAGGTGTCCTTGTCCATGGCATGGGGTGGAATGAGATGAATTTTAAGGTCCATCTCAACCCAAAGCATTCTGGGAGTCTCTGATGAAGACTTGGCCTTTCAGCTGTTCTTCTGACACAAGAGGGAAACAATGGCCCTTTTCTGCTCATGGTTTTCTCCTGGCTGTGGTTTTTTGGTGGTGGGACGTGATGGATCCTTGGGGTTTCTTGCAGCCCAAGGGATAAAACACAGGGATTCCAGCTCCTGGCCAGGCTGGGGCAAAGCTGCCTGGGCTGCTCCCTGGAGGCTTCCAGCTACCTGGCCCTTCTGGCAGCTGAAAATCTGGAATATTTTTGGAAATGGACCATGTCACCCTTTGCTTCTAACAAAGGTCATGTGGTGAGATTGGCACTGTCCTGTGCAGGACCAGGATGGACTTTGAGAACCTTGTGGGTCCTTTCCAGCTCAGGATGTTCTGTGATTCTGTGACTCTGGGGACTGGGTGACTCTGCCTGGGCTGAGCCTGAAGCCCAGCAGGGCGTGGGAGATGGGTGGGGTGAGCCCTGCTCCCTGCCTGCCCTTGGGCCAGCTTGACAGTGCCTGTGGCTGGGAAGGGGAGTCACTGGGAGAGTGTCCAGGTGTTGGGAAGAGGAGTCAATGGGAGCCTCTCTAGGTGTTGGGAACAGGAGTCACTGGGACCATGTCCAGCTGTTGGGTGAAGGAGTCAATGGAAGCATGTCCAGAATGTCCAGCTGTTGGGAAGAGGAGTCAATGGAATCATGGCCAGGTGTTGGAAAGAGGAGTCAATGGAAGTGTGTCCAGTTGGTGGGAGAAGGAGTCATTGTGAGCGTGTCCAGGTGTTGGGAAAGGTGTCAATGGAAGCATGTCCAAGTGTTGGGAGGTGGAATCAATGGAATCATGTCCAGAATGTCCAGTTGTTGGGAGGAGGAGTCACTGGGAGTGTGTCCAGGCATTGGGAGAAGGAGTCAATGGAAGCATGTCCAGTTGGTGGGAGAAGGAGTCACTGGGAGTGTGTCCAGGTGTTGGGAGGAGGAATAAGTGGAAGCATGTCCAGGTATTGGGAAGAGGAATCAATGGAATCATGTCCAGAATGTCTGGTTGTTGGGAGGAGGGGTCAACGGAAGCGTGTCCAGGTGTTGGGAGGAGGAATCAGTGGAATCATGTCCAGAATGTCCAGCTGTTGGGAAGAAGAGTCAATGGAAGCATGTCCAGATGTTGGGAGGAGGAATCAATGGAGGCGTGTCCAAGTGTTGGCATCCAAAGCTGCTGTGCTGTAAGGTGAGAGGTGTGCTGGGGTCATTCAAAACCAAAGTGGTTCCACACCAAACCTTGCAGGCATGGGAATTCCTGAGGGATGTGGGAGCTGGAGGGCAGGAGGATGGCCTGGAGCTCGTTGCTGTGTTCACAGTCATCCCTTCCCCTCCTCCTCGTGCTCAACTCACCCCGTAACCAGCTCAGGTCCCAGTTTGTGCCCAGTCACCACCACAGTGCCCAAGTGCCCTGTGCAAAGGTGGGGCAGTGCAGAGCCCCCTGAGCAGGAACCTGCACATGGGGCCCTCTTCTGCCCCTTCCAGGATGGGTGATGCCCTCCTGAGGCAGAGCCTGCTGGGGATGAGGCATGGCACGAGTGGATCAGCTGTTCCTGGATACCCAGAGCACTGAAAACATCTCCCATGGCAAGTCCAGCCCCAGCTAAAAACATTCCAGACTCCTCTTGCCCAAATCCAGTTAAAAACATTCCAGACTCCTCTTGCCTGAATCCCCAACCCCACTGTCCTCAGTGACCCCAAAGCCCTCCTCCCCCATCCTCGCCGTGTCCGTAACTCTGGAGGGCAGAAGGACAGAGTTCAGGCAGAGGAGAGCATGTTGGATGACCCTCTGTCCCTCTCTGTGCCTGGCTGCATTCTCCCCCAGACAGCCCCTGGTGCCTCTCCAGAGCTAAACACGGCATGGGGACGGAATTCTCCCCGTTCCAAGTGCTGCTGGGCCGGTGCTTGCCGCGGCCGTGCTGCCCTGGGCAGTGGGAAGGACGGGGGATGCCAGGTTCCTCCGGAGCCAGCAGCACCCAGCTCACCCTTTGTGAGCACCACGGAATTCCCTGGGACTGGAGCAGAGTTCCCATGTCCAAACAAAGGGCTCGGGAAGCAGGAGTTTGTGCGGCTCGGGTTGCTGGCTGTGAGCTGGAAACTTTCGACTCTGTGATATAATGAGTCAGATTCTCATTTCTGTTAATAACCCACAGCACTGTTCTGGCAGGGTCACCCAGCAATAAATCAAACGGGAATTCGTTCCCATTTGGAAGCTCTTCCACACTGCCAGAACGCTGCAAGGAGCTGGGGCTGGAGCAGAAATGAATATGAACCTGGCCTAGAGGGGCTTTTTCTACCCCTCCAAGGGAGCCCTCAGCCTTGGGATATGTATAAAACATTATGCATATAAAATATATAATGTTTTATACAAATAAAATATTATAGATAAAATAATATCAATCAATTTATATATGAATATATTATTTTTATATAAATTATATATTAGGACAGTATATTATATAAAATATAATATATTTTAAACCTGTAAAATACATATAATTTCTATATATTTTTTATATATATATTTTTAATATATATATATATACAGAGAGATATAGTGTCCAGCAAACATACTCACGGGGTATGTTTGCTCCATCCTTCCATCTGGCAGCTCAGGAAATGCGCTGTGCAAGCCAGAAATCTCAGAAAATCACAGAAAAATAGGGATAGAAGTCCTCAGTCTATTCCCAGGGCTGGGAGAGCTAATGAAGGGTTTTTGAGAGGCTTTTGTCTGGCCTGCTCCAAAAGATCTTCCAAGATCTCGCTCTGTCCAAGCAACCTAGTCCAGAGCTCAGCTGTTCTTACACTGATGTCCACCACTAACATTCCTTGCTGATATTTAGGACTGGGATGTTCAATTTGAGCTGTCAGGACTTGGAAAATCAATAATTCCCACCCTCCTTCCTGCAGCCTTGAGCATTTGAGGAAATGACACCTTGCCCCCTTTTTGATGTTCCATTTTTCATATAGAAAAACTGATTATTTGGTTTTCTTTTCCTTTCAGAAGTAGCATTTTTTTATCTGCTTGAATAAAAAATGGATAAAACATGGACAGAAGCAACAGAGATTCCCAGGAGAGCACCTGCAGCTGGAAGGATCTGGATGCACGTGTGGCTCTGTGAAACCCCTGCCCTCCCTCACTTCTTCCTCACCAGCAGAGCAAAACATCCTTTTCGTGGAAGAACTTGGTGAGAGGCAGGTCGGGGTATCCCCAGAGAGCCAGGATGATCCCATTCCAAGCCAAATCAGTGGGAAAATGCCCAGAAACTGGACTGGAAGTGACACAGAGATCAAGAACACCCAGGGATGTCTGAGGGATGCCTGCACCTCCACCAGCCTTGAGGCCAGTGTGGAATATTAAATATAAAATATATGAAATATATTATCTCTCTCTCTTTATCTACATATATATATTAAAAATATAATAGATATAAAAATAGAAATGATATGTACTTTATAGATATAAAATATATTTTATATAATATACTCTCCTAATATATAATTTATATAACAATATCTTTATCTATAAATTGATTAATATGATACTATCTGTAATATTTATATGTATAAAACATTATATATTTTATATGCATAATGTTTTATACATAGAGAATATTCTATGTATTTTATGTGCATAATATTTGATACATAAAAATATAATCCATATATTATATATATGTATATTTTGTATATTTATATGTATATAAATATAAGTCTAGATATATATGCATATACATATTATATATTTATAGGTATATATATGTATATGTACCTTTCTAGATAAAATATATATGTATATATTGTGTATATAAATATATATACATTTATATATATTATATATAATATATGTATATATATACTATATATTATAATATA